CCAAGAAAATGCCGTCTTATCAATATTCTCTTCCCTCATTCTGTATGCCACTTCTTATCCATATTCTCTTCCCTCATTCTGTATGCCACTTAGACAGAAGCACTGTTTTAGCATCAGACAGTCTGGCTTTGAATCCCCTCCCTGGCCATGACCTTGTGTAAGCTACCTACCTCTCTAAGTCCACACTCCTTCTGTAAAATGGGGATAGTCATAGTGCCTGTTTCCTAGAGTTGTCGCAGGAATGGGAGTTGAAATAAAAAACGCATGTCATGTGGGCAGCACAGTGTCCTGCACAGAGCAAATGCATGACAAATGGTGGCTGCTACGATGATTAGGTCAGTGACAGAGGGACTGGTGAGCGGGGTCACTTGTTCAGAGCAGCCCTTCTAAGGAAGCCTGTGAGTAAGCCACTTTTCCAGACCAAAGGTTCCAGGGGAATTGCTAGTGATGTTGCTGCCTGGGGTAACAGAAAGGAGAGGAGGCAATTATACAGCGTGTAACAAAAATAATTTCATTTCTAATGCCTTTCCCCTGCTGGGCCACTTAGACTCTAAACAATAACCACAAGGTGGGGGTGCAAATGAGGCACGTTCTGAAGGAGCCCAGTGACAAAGGCACGGGCCCCATGACTCACTTTGGCTCCCAGACATCTGCAGGGGGATGTCCTTGGGGACTGTGGCTGCCATTCTGGGTGCTGAGCCTCAGTGCCCTGGAAGCTGGGTCTGCCCGGGCTGACTGCAGGCTTATCGACAAGGCCCCTCGGGGCCAAATCTGTCTGACTTCACTTAACCATCATCCTCTGTCTGGGAACACAATGACATCACTCAGAGGGCTCCAGGGAAAGCCAGGGGTCCTCCCTTCTTCCTCCTCCCCCCCCATCCCGCCATCACTGGAAACAGTAAAGAATTTCCCCTGTCTGTCCCTGGAAAAAGTGCAAATCCTCACAGGTGCCATCAGATTATGACAAATCACCCATCTGCGCCACACTGATGCCTTACACATGCATATTGAACATCCACTGCTTCCAGGGGCCCTCAAGAATTCACTTTCCTCAGCTCCCACATCCATGACGCTGGCTCCACACTCTCAGAGGCCCCCACGGCTTCCAGGGCTCTGAGTCTGGGACCCTGCGTGGGCACAGCCTTTTCCACCCCAGGGATGGGGGAGTCCCGAGGCCCGAGGGCATTGTCTCTGGCTCCTTTCTGTTCGCTAAAGCCAGCAGGGGCCTCTGCTCCTCCAGAGACACGTTCCAGGTCTCCTAGGGAGAAAGGAGGTTGCACCCTCCCAGGGGGCTTCCCACCTGCCAAGGGTGTTGATTTACCTTATTCATCAGATTGATGTGAAAGGGAGAAGAAGAGGGGAAATGTACAAGACCATAAGGGCAAATTTCTCTCCTTTCTCTGGACCCAAACGGGAACAAACCAAGTGGCTCAATCGAGGAGTTTTACTCCTCCACCCACATGTACTGACACTATAATCAAGCTATTTTCCAAGCCTGTGCATTTAGATAATATGATTCAATTGTTTAAAAAAAAAAGAAAGAAATCTTCCATTACACTGGTGACAGGGACAGGTTAGAGGCAGCGGTATATTAACATCAGATTCCAACACTGCTGCAATAATTAAATAGGCTGGAGATAATATCAGTCTAACACCCAGAATTGGTAAATAAGGAACTTGTTCTATGTAGTAACCTGGAGAGCTCATACAGAATCCCAAAGCAAATGCTGGAGTCTTCCCAGGGCGTAAGAGGCCCTACTGGGGGGTGAAAGGAAGGAACTATGACACTGGGGGTCATCTAAGTGAGAGGCCACACACAGAGGAGGACTCCTACTGGGAAGCTGAGCCCTTTCTGCTGCCTGTGGTTTCCAAGTACTTCCTAGATGCAGGATGCTCTCCTGCTAGCAGGGCTCTAGACAGAGAAGCTTTGATTGCCAAGTTTAATCCTGGTGCACTGGAACTGCAAAGTTTACACCACTCTTTTTTTTTTTTTTTTAAGAAATTTATTTACAGGCTATATTTTTTAAGTTGAACTCCTACTTTTTTATTTTTTTAAACTTTTAATTTTGTATTGGGGTGTAGCTGATTAACAATGTTTCAATAGCTTCAGTTTCAGGTGGACAGCTGAAGAGACTCAGCCACAAATATACATGCATCCATTCCCCCCTCAAATTCCCCTCCCATCCAGGCTGTCACATAACATTGAGCAGAGTTCCCTGTGCTATACATTAGCTCTTTGTTGGTTATCTATTTTAAATACAGCAGTGTATACATGTCCATCCCAAATTCCATAACTATCCCTTCCTTCTGGCAACCATAAGTTCTTTCTATAAGTCAGCACCACTCAATTTTTGGAGAAATTTCCTAACAGGAGACAGAAACCATATTTCTGGACTAAAGGAAAAGCTGCCGTATTTGGAGTCAGGAACATCCAGAATGATTCTGAGGAAGTCCAAATAATCTAAGGATTTTAAAGTCCTGATAACTATGTCTGAGGGGAAATGGAACTGACTGGGCAGTCATCCTGTTCTTTTCAAGCCCTCATATCTTAGGTTGATGTGACCTGTGATACACAATCTGATTCTGGGAGATGCTAGAGATATGGCTTGGGGTCCCAGCATTATAAATCAACTTTGATTCTCCTCTCCCTTCCTCAACCTTCACTGTTGGAGATTCATGGGTATTACACCACATGGGAGGGCAAAATGAGGGGTGGCAGGTCAGAACGTATGAGTCACTGGAAGGGGAAGGATTGACTCAAGAAAGTCTCATCATGCTCTGCCCCCTACCTTCACCACACACACATCACCTGTGCCATCTTCATAGTTTCTTCCTCAACACCGAAATACAACTTCCACGTGCAAGGAAGATGGAGACAGCTCCTTGCAGACCGAGTCCACAGGCCTTTTCCCGATACATGTTTAAACAGAGAACAGGGGTCTTGGACCAGTCTAGCTTCAGCAGGTCAGCCCCAGGTATGTGTGAGGCCAAATTTTTATGAGATCTTGAGCTCCCTTTGTTTCCACTGGTGGGAGGAAAAAACAGGCTTTCTCTCAAGTTCAGATTCTCCTATATGACTGCACATTCTAGACGGAAATAATTCAACCTTGCAGGTGAAGGAAAAAAACTGACTAGCCCACAAGCCTTATCACTGGCCTTATTCACCGCTACAAGCTTCCCAGCTTTTATAGAGCACAAGAACCAAATCGATACAGTCAATATGTCACTGCCAATAGGGCACACATGGCTACCAGCCTTGGGGAACATGGTGTGCTACTAAGCTGAACTAATCACTCCTTGGCATTTCAGCAGCAGTTGGGTTAGCAGATCACGGCATAAACATACTGAACGAGGATGATTCCCCTACAAGGGGAGGGGAGGGAAAACACACTGGGTTGGCCCCCAGAGGAGACTTAGTATTTACACAGGTCAATGTAAACCCATATTGGTGATTCTTAAAGAGACTAAAAATCTGTTTTAGAAAAAAAGGGAAGCCCAGGCAGATCCTGTGGGAGGAGACTGGGCTGCAACCTCTATCACAGCAAAGAGACTGGACCAGGAGGATGGTTCATCCACAAGCCCACATCCAAAGAATTTTACACGTGTAACTGCAGAAGGCAAGGGGGTTGACTCAAGACCTTAATCATGTTCTCTCTAGTTAAGGAAGTAATAACTTGTATGAGAGATGATTTCTTAACCCAGTGTACATATGAATCACCCAGAAATATTGTTAAAATATATATTTCTGGGCCTCAGCTTGAGACTATCATTCAGCTGTTCTTCAGACAAGAAACAAAATCATGCATTTTAAACTAGCTTCTCTGGTGATTCAGATACAGAGAGTTTATTAAAACAAAACCCAGCCCTTAGAGAAATGCTGCCCCAGACCTCTATAATAATTCAGAATCTCCCATGTTCTAGGCACATTCCTCCACCCAGGATGTACAGGTAAGATGGAAGGAACTCAGAATGGTCTTCAAGAGACCAAGGCTAGAACCATGGTGGCCCTCACTTGGCTCTCAGTCTAACCCTCTCAAATGTCTTCCCCACCAGATGTCTGATTTCAGAGAAGGCATCAGCAGCCCCCTCCCAGTCAAATATGCCAGGAATCCTGAATACTAAGCAGACAAGTCAAAGGAAGGGGACTGGGACACAGCAAGTCAGCTCACTAATTCTCTTGCAATTGGTCACATTCACCACAAGCCTCTCTTTCTGTCCACCTTCATTAAATAGCAGCAACAGGGAGAAAAATGAAACAAAAAATGATTTCTTTTTCAAGTGGTCCTAATGACACAGGATGAGTCGGGGGTAAGCAGAGCATTTGCATCCAATGGGGTAAGAATCCCTGTTGATGTCGTCCTGGAGAGGAGCAAGAATTAGCCTGAAAGGTTTATAGCCTGGTCAAAATCCAGAAATGGTTGGATCTGAAGAAGGAACTAGAGAGGGAGCCACAAACTGTCTTGCACCTCACCAACCTCAGGACCCCCCCAGGACAAAAAGTAGTGGGGTGTGAGGTAGGCGAACAGTGTGACTCATTCACTCAGATAGCTTCCCCGAGGCTGAGAGAAAGGACCTGTCCCTACGGAGGCGCAGTGCTGTGACTTGCGTCCATGGAGAAGCCTGTTGTGTAGACGCACAAGCACCCTCTTACCTCTGCTCTTCAAGAGGAACGGCTAACGGGCTACCGGCGGCAGCCAGGGATGCACACGCGCTCTGTCTGGCGCTTGCAGCTGCCTCTTGTCTTTGTACACCGCCCTACCAGGGCTTTTGGTCCATTCCAAAGGAGGAGAATCACCCTTTGCCTCTGCGCCTATCGTCACCCCCATTCCCGGGTTGAGATGGGTCTGAAACCCCAACCTCCTTCCTCCACTGAATCGCAAACGGAGTGCGGCCAAGAACGTAAATTCAGAACCAAGGACAGCGGCATATTAGCTGTGAGAGCAATTAGTTCGAACCAGCCTCTCTCTCACCCCTGGCTTCGGTCCTTAGAAACTGAAGTCTCAGGTCGCACAAATGTAGAGTTGCCAAGAACAACCCTTTTCCCTCCAGGGCGATCGGAACTCTGGCCGCGCGCACGGGGGGCTCCCGGCTTGGGTGCCGGGCGAAAAGTGCCCTCCCGAGATGGTCCGGGAGCCGGCCGCCCTGCGAAGCCCCGGCTCCGCGGGTTTCGCTCTCGGCGCTCTGCCGGAGGCTGCATAGCACTGCCCGCCCGTGTCCGGAGCGAGGATTCGCACGCCGGCGGTGCGAAGGATGCCCAGAGGGTGGGAGAGAGGACAGCCGCCGATGTTCACCTTCGTCCCCGGGGAAGCGGCCCGACGGAGAGTCCGGGAAGAGCAGGGCAGGGCGGTCCCCGGGCAGACGAGCGCAAGAGTGTCCGGACAAACTTCTGGTCCCAGCCGCGCCGCCCTTCGAACTCCTTCCTCCTCTCCCACTGACCCTGCCTGGGCCCGGGCAGCCTGTCCTGCACCCTGTCGGCGCTTACCTTCAAGCCATAGGGCGCCCAGGGGCAGAGACGGCGCCGGATGCTCGAGGCTTCCGGCTCCCGCCGCATCCACGCGCGGCCGCCCCTCTGGCAGCCGTTCGGGGCCGCCGCTCTCCTCGGCGGGTCCCTGGCTCCCGGCCCCGCCGCGCCGTTCAGAGCCCCGGCGGGCAGCCGCTTGGCCGGCTTCGGCCCGCGGGGAGCAGTGGACGGGCCGCGGCGGGGCGGGGCGGGGCGGGGCCGGCCGGGCGCGGGGCGGGCGAGCGGCGCAAAGACCTGGCGCGGAGGCGGTGCGGTGCGCGCGGCAGGCGGCCGGCTCCGGCACTGAAAAGCTGGACAGCTCCGCGGCGCTCCAGAGGAGAGCGCGGGGAGCGCGGGAGGGCGGGGCGGGGCCGCCTGGACCACGGGGCGCCTGGAGCCCCGCCCCTGGGACAGGCCCCGCCCCGCTCCGTCCCGCCCCCTGCGCGTTGGTAAGCGAGCCTCCAGAGCCGGCAACACCCGAATCGCTAGCAGGTGGGCATTGCCGCCATCCTTGACTTTGAGGCAGATGGAGCCCAGGCAGGAACTGAGCCGTCCCACCACACCCCCAAAGTAGAAATCTGTAAATGCCCGGCGGCGGGGACAGGTGTCGTCGTCGCCTGTCTCTTCCCTCCTTTGAGGAGTCAGAGGACAAGGGTTGGGGGAGGCACTTCCCATCCAGGGAGTCGAAGATGGAGAGATCCAGGACCTCTTCAAAGCTCTGGTCAGAGCTGTGCTAAGTTCCGCTGCTTACCTCATTTCCAGGGGAAAGCCTGCTTGGAGCTGACTTGACATGGAAATTCAAGAGGCCCAGAGATTCCAGCTCACCTTTGATTCCAGACGCAGTAAGGGGTTGGAGAGAGGAAGGGAGGTGGTGGCGAGGACTGCGCTACTGCTGGTCCTCTGCCGCTGGTCTTTACCTGCAGAGGAACCGCCTCCCCACCTTTCCCTCATCACTTTACTTCAAGGAACTGGCCCTTGAACAACAGGAATTTGAACATCACAGGTCAAAAATGAGACATTTTTCAACAGTAAGTAATACACTACTACATGGACAGAGGAGCCTGATGGGCTACAGTCCATGGGGTTGCAAGAGTCGGTCATGACTTAGCGACTAAACCACCTACATTATCCGGGGTTGGTTCAAACCACTCATGGAGAAGGTGGGTAAGGAGGGTGGACTGTACATTAAATGCTGATTTTTGAGGGTTAGCACCCCTAGTCCCCACATTGTTCAAGGGTTAGCTGTAGTTACTGACTGTCCTTCCTTTGCCAGGCTCTGTGTCAGATTCAAGGGTCACAAAGAGGAATGAAACCAGGCTCCTGCTCTCACCTCCTGCCAGTTTAAGCCAATATACCTGTAGCTTATACCAGTGCCAAGGAACAAACAAAAAGGGAAGCCTGGCAGGAGCTAGGCATTGAAGAAGCAAATACCAGTTCCCTGGGGGAAGAAGGCAGTGTTCCAGGCAGGGGGGAATAGCATGGAGAATTAGACTTATATATCAGGGAGTCAGTCCATCGTGGCTGGAATCAAGCCGCTCCAAGACTTTGAGGCTCTAGGCCCTAAAGGTTAAATTTGACTCAGCATTTCCTTCAGTGACACACACAATTATCAAAAATTAGAGTTGGAAAAACAAATTAACATTCATCTAAATCCCACTCATCACTTTGCAAGAAAGAACTGAGGTACAGAGAAATGGAATCCCTTCCAGATGCCACGGAGATCCAGCTCTGCATCAGTCCCCTGTCTCTGGGGGCTCAAATCAGCACATCTGTCATTTCTGGAGGCAACTGGAGGAAAGGGAAGAAATGTCAGTAGTGTGACACGTCTCTTCCCCTGCTCTATGCCTTTGGTGCTATACGTGGATCTGGACCATTCCCATCTCCCTGCCGGCTTGATGGGGAGATATTGTAACAATCAGGAATCCTAACATTTTGCCATATCTGCTATTAAAGCAATAAAACATTGCAGACATAGTTAAAATCTCAGTGTTCTGCCTTGCATAGCCTCATGTCACTCTTCCCAAGTGATGTTTAAAATCCACTTAAAGAAGCACTTGGTACCTCCCGGCTCAGCACCTGTGCATCAATCGAGGCCCACAGCCACACAGTGGACAGGCCACCCCTCTTCTGGCCAGTCAGAAGACCTGGATTGATGCCCTGCTTCTGTCACCTACCCGTTGTGTGACCTTGGATAAATAGTTTAATCTCTCTAAGCCTCAGATCCCCCATCTATAAATTGGGGCTAAAAATACCTTTCTCTCTGGAGTACACTGGGGATAATAGATGAGGAAGTATTAGAGAAATGATAACGTGGGCAGGCCCTGGCTGCTACAAGGTGGGGAGGGGAGCCAGGCTTGCTCAGGAAATAGGAGATGACCTCCGTGGGTCATTTCCGCGCCAACCCAAAGATACGTTAGCGGTAGCTCTGTACTGCCTTTTCCACCCTGATCTTGCATGGCTGAGTGGATTTCATGCTGGCTCTGAGTGAGACGGATGGATCTTTTAGTTTTCAATTAGCAAACGCCTCGCTCTTTAAACAAGTGGCACAGCAAACAGATGCCCTGAATGATTGATGACAGGGAACATCTGTGGCCAAGCAGGTGGCTGTACCAGAGACTCAGGCTTCCCAGAGTGGCAGGGCCCTCTGGAGATCATTGGGTGCCTCCCCTCTGTTCCAGGCAGAACTGTCCCCAGTCCAAGCAGGCCGGGCAGGGGCAGGGTGGCCCTTTTCCTTACAGCTTTCCTGGAAAGGGGGCCACAGGAGTCTCCTTGAGTTTCCATATATTCCAGAACCTCAGAGTCAGGAAGTTGTTCCTGGTGTGCTATCTATACCTTCATTTCTACTCTTTATCCTTGAAAACGGTAAAGCAATGTTTAGCAATGATTATTAGGGGCAGAGGACGGGTTGAGGCAGGTAGAAATTTTGCTGGCCCATAGTAACAAGGAAGCAAAGGATGGATCCAACAAACAGGAAGGAAAATCTAGAACTCCCTCTGTGCTCCAAGAATGGCTTCTGAGCCAGAGGAGGAGGCCTGGCTGGGCCTTGGAAGGGAGAGTCCCTTGCTGGTCTCTGTCAAACCCTGCACCCACAGAGAAAGACACAAACAGGCTGTCAAAAGGCCCTTTCTGCAAATCATTTCACAGGAGACGAGGGCCGTGCCCTCACTGGAGGGGTTGGGAGCAGAGCCGGACCAGGGAAGCAGCATCGCTGGAGTCTCACAGGAGTTCACTGCCACATTCCACGCCCTTGGGGAAGTTCTGAATGTCTCCCAGCCCCCGCTTCGCTTCCTCATTTGTGAAGTGGGGATGCCGATCCTATCTCAGAGTTATCGTGGAAATTAAGTGGGAATGACCACCGGCATATCGGTGCCCAGTCAATACGTTTTGCCTGTTTTCTGCTCTCACTGAAAACTTCAACCAGCGAAGCGCTGACAGAAATGCATACAACTCTTTGTGGTGTCCCAGCCTACTTTTCAGATTTCTTAACCTACCTCGCAGATGAAAACAGAGTCCTTACTTTCAAACTCTGGGAATGCTTCTTTTCTTATCCTCTTCCCTTTTGTCATTTTGCGCTTATCCCAGTTGCAGACGACTCTGAGAATGCTAAGGTGGCAATCTTTCTGGATCAGAGGGGGTGCAGGGTACAAAGAAAATGCATGTGTCCTTTTTAGACTTCATTATCTTTAGCAAAGTGCAGAAAACCTTAGAGAGAGAGTTCTTGGTTACCAATGTCGCTGAGAGATCCACGGCCCCATGTCAGAACAGCCTAGTGAAGGGACTGAAGAAAGCGGGGGCTGGGCCTCCCAAGGAAGGGGTGGGGAAGGAGAGGATTCTTGTAAAAGGCGAGGTTCAGGGCACACTCCTTGACCAAGACGGGAGAGCAGAGAGAGTTACCTGAGAGTTTTGATGTCTGCATGTGCAGGTCACCCTTAGTGACTCATTTCCTCACAGGGATTTCCCACATCAGTGTGAAATGGACATTTGTAGATGCTCAGAGGGATTTCCCACATCAGTGTGAAACGGACATTTGTAGATGCTCTTTGCATCCTCCTGTTGTGGAACAGTAAAGAATACAGGTGTGACCCACTTTAAGAACATCTACTATATAACACAGTTACAAAACAGATCAATTAAAATGCAATTATTCACATGAAAAATTTACTTAATGCTTGATGGGCAGAGGTCATAAAAATATATGCCTTATTGGTACACCCATGTTCATAGTAGCATTATTCACAGCAGCCAGAAGATAGGAGCCACCCAAGTGTCTATCAACGGATGAACAGATAAATGAAACAAAGTGCTACATACAGTGGGGGTATCAATCCAGTCTTAAAAGGCAGGAAGTCCTGTCACACGCTCCAAGATGGATGAAACTTAGGACATTAAGCTAAGTGACTTAAGCCAGTCTCAGAGGACAAATACTGTAGGATCCCACTTACATGAGGTACCTAGGGAAGGAGGAGATTCCAGTCGCAGTTGCCAGGGGCTGGAAGGAGTGGTGAATAGGGAGTTAGTGTTTAAAAGGTACAGAGTTTCTGCTTCAGAAGATGAAGCCATTCTGGAGATGGATGGTGGTGATAGTTGCACGACAATTTGAATTTACTTGATGTCACGAAACTGTATGCTTAAAAATCATTAAAATGATAAATTATATATTATCTATATTTTACTGTATATAGTGTGTATACTATACACACATAAAATATGTAAATCTTGTGTTTCAGTAGCCGCTGAAGTCATCATATATATGAAAACAAAGTAAAACATCTTGGAAATTACCAGATATTAAACAGGTGGAAAAGTGACTGAATTTAGAAAGCGATCAATTTATATCTAACTTGGGAAGTTGTATTTAGGGAAGTTCAGTTAGTACTGCCTTAGATTTCCTCAGCCCTTTCTAAGATTCATCTGCCTTCCAGTAGCTCTGTGATGTCAAAAATATCATGATTTGGGGTGAGCGCTGGAAAGGTTAAGGGGCTCCCCCTTCTAGAACATAGGAACAGACGAGGGTGATAGTTTTCTGACAGTCTGCACATTCAAGCACTCAGCTTTGTTTGTTAAATTCCTATCAAATATAATTGATTTACAATGTTGTGTTAGTTTCAGATGAACACTAAGGTGATTCAATTATATGTGTGTGTGTGTACATATATATATATACATATACATGTATTCTTTTTTTACCTTCTCTTCCATGATAGCTTATTATAAGATATTGAGTATAGTCCAGGGTGCCGTACAGTAGGTCCTGGTTGGTTACTGTTTTATATACAGTAGTATATATATGTTGATCCCAAACTCATAATCAAGCATTCAGGTTTTGAATGAAGTGGTACAGTTCAGAGAAAGTTCTAATAGTGAAGAAAAGCTCAATTTGAGCTTTCCTTATCGAGGATGAACAAATGAGAAGCAGAGGTATTTTCAGTCTGTAAGCCAACCAGCAGCATTCAGGGTTTCTTTTCACGCCCTGCTCCTTTACATGTTTGCCTTGTCTGAGGACCCTGCCCACCTGCTCATGCCATTGCTGCCTCTGACGCAGTCAGGGTATCAATCGGGGAACGTGGATACAAGAAACAAACAACTTGGGCAGTTTAAGCAGGAAAGGAAGTCACTGAAAATATTGTAAGA